ATCTAGTAGGATTTTAGGGCTAGCAGTTCAGTTAGCGGTAGGATGAAACTAACACTCAGACTTCCAAAAAGAACTGAAAGAACAGAGCCAATGAGCATTAGTCTTCCTACTTTCGTTTTAATGTTGGACTTCCCCTAGGCTGGGTTCCTATTTTTGATTTGGCCACTGACTCAACTTTGACCTTGGGAAAACCACTTAATCTTTCTGCAGTTTCCCTCTCCACAATATATTCTTTCCCATCCTCATGAAACATTTTCTAGAGAGGCTCTTCAGTTTATTCAGAGGAAGAGGTCGATTACAGTAACTATAGGTTTTACAACTAGATATAACTTAGGAAGCAGTGATCATCTTAGATTATGGATCAGTAATGGTGATTGTGTCTTATGACTGAAGAGGATCAAAAACGGTAGTCCAGTCCTTCCCTGGGTGTTGAGATCTGAGTCTTTAGAGAAAAGAGTACTCAGGCATATGGATTTACTGGGTAAGATACTATAGTTTCTCCAAAGGTACAACACAAACTGCGGAGAGACATGCAGAGCTCCTGTTTCTCTGCTCAGAAGCCCAGGAGAATGACAGGACAGCTGTTTGCTCCCAGCTGTGTCCACTACCTGTCCTTGCCTGGGTGGTTCTATTCTATTACATTCATCACACGTACCTCCTTTTCTTGAACTGTTCTACTACCTTGAGACCTCCAGTGATCTTCTGTTGTTGCATAACAAATTACCACCAATTTAGTAGCTTACAACAACACACAGTTACATTGCTGTTTCTGTGGCTCAGGAGTCCACGCATGGCTTAGCTGGGTCTTTTGCTTAGCATCTCACAAGGCTGAAATCAGGGTATCAGCAGGACTGATTCTCATCTGGAGAAAGTATTCTCATCTGGAGGCTCAGCTGGTGAAGGACCTCCTTCCAAGTTCTTTCAGGATGTTGGCAGAGTTGTAGCTATAGAATCCATGGAAGGTTAAATTCAGCGACAGAGTGAGTCTCTGACCTCCCCGATGCTTTTACAAAGGTCTCACCTAATTAAGTCAGGCCAATTCAAGATACTCACCCTTTTAAATTAACTTAAAATCCACAGATAAGCTTTAATTACTTTTGAAATATACGTTCACCTTTGCCATACTCCATGGGTTATAAGGCAGTCACAGGTCCCCCTCACACTCAAGAGATGGGGGGTTATACAAGGCATGGGTCATCTTAGATAGTGGGTCATCACAGAATTTTGCCTACCACAAAACCACCATGAATTAAAATTATGCAACTAAGTACGTACAAGGACTTGATTGAGGGCTTGAAACATTGAATGACTTCTCCTTCCCGTGTATGTGACCATCTTGTTCATTCTGAATTAGTTAAAACCAGCCTTCAGTTAAGGGAAAATATTTGGTTGTCAAGAGGGAAGGAACAGGCTTAACGAGGGTGTGATTGGTAAATTGCACCTACAGTCCTGTCCTAAGCAACTAAAACATTAATTAGGGATTATTGCTTATCTAGAGAATGGGTCATCCTGAATTATCTTTATTTCCCAGTTCACCCAATGTGGCTCAATTCATGAAAATGAGTTCACTCGTATCTATTCAAAATTACGCCGAGTTACTCTTTTAAGAATTGTCCCCAAAATTGACCTACAACACTACCACGAAAAGCATAGACAAGAAAACCTCTTACTAGCTGTAAGCAATAGCAATCACCTTTTCTTTTCTTTTTTTTTTTTTAAGATCTTATTTATTCATGAGAGACCTAGAGAGAGACACAGGCAGAGGGAGAGGCAGGTTCCTCGAGGGCAGCCCAATGCAGGAGTCTATCCTGGGACTCCAGGATCACGACCTGAGCCAAAGACAGACGCTAAACCACTGAGCCACCCAGGCATCCCAGCAGTCACCTTTTCAACACATTTCTTGTCAACACACTGAAGACAGAATGACAATGTATCAGATTAATATTGCTCTATAAACAAAATGCATAACTAAATAAAAAAGTGAAGAGGCTGAAATCAGCAGGAGATAATGAAGAGTTCATCTCTGTATATACAAATCAATAAGAAATCTTGAAGCTCGAAATGACAAATGGACTTCACACTCCCAGGACGGCAATAATAATAATACTAAAGTATCGATGAGGATGTAGACAAATTGGAATCCTTATGCACTGCTGATAGGAATGTAGAATGTCATGGCTACTATGGAAAACAGTATGGCAGCTTCTTAAAAGGTTTACATTAGAATTGCTGTATTATTCAGCATTTCCACCTCTGGGAGTATACACAAAGGAATCGAAAGCAGGGATTTAAGCGGCTATTTGTACACCAATGTACAGAAGAGATTTTTCATAGTAGCCAAAAGATGGACGCAACCCAGGTTCATCGATGGATGAATGGATTAACAAGATGTGGTGTATACCTACAGAGGAATATTATTCAACCTTAAAAAGAAAGAAAGTTCTGCCCCATGTTATAACACGGACCTGACAAACATTATGCTAGGTAAAATAAGCTAGTCACAAAGGACAAATATTGTATGATTCCACATACATAAGGTATCTACTGTAGTCAAAGTCATAGAAAATAGAATTGTGGCTGCAGGGATGGGAGAGGATGGGAGTTAGTGTTCAATGGGTACAGAGTTTCAGTTTGGAAAGATTTAAATGTTTCAGAGATGGCTGGTAGTGATGGCTGCAAAACGCTGTCAATGTACATACTGCTACAGAACTGTGTGCTTAAAAATGGCTAATATCAATTTTATGTGATGTATATTTTATCACAATGAAAAAAAACTTGCAAAGATAACAGGCAAGGATGAACACAGAGATCACAAAATAGGAAATTTTACAAGCAAGCTGACTTGAGGAAAGATGCTCAGCTATGTTGGTAACCAAAGAATTGAAAAATTTTAAATATCATTTAAAGGAGTATCATTGTTTAGTCTAATAGGATAATGAGTATTATGTATCCAGCACACAAAGTCTGGCAAATAATTATATTCAAAACATATTTTACTTGTCTGCTTCTTCCTGTCTCCATAGAACAGGGATAAAGTCTTCATTTTATAATTCTCTACTGTATTTAATCATTCTATACTTCATTTAAAAATTCCATACTGAAGATGGATTTTAAATCATTCCTAGGGCTGTCTTCTAGTATGCCAGTTCAAGTTGTAAAAAAGTTAAACCTCTTTCTTGAGGCTTCCAAGTTGATGTTCCAGTGCAAGGAAGATATAACAAGAATTATATTAAATGCAATTCTGAAATAATTTATTCTATTAAAAATGTGCGTGGCTGGGACACCTGGGGGGCTCAGCCATTGAACGTCTGCCTTGGGCCCAGGGCATGACCCCGGGGTCCCTGATCGAGTCCCAGGTCAGGTTCCCCTCGAAGAGCCTGCTTCTCCCTCTGCCTATGTCTCTGCCTCTCTTTCTGTGTCTCTCATGAATAAATAAATAAATAATCTTTAAAAGAAATGTAGTTGGCGGCAAAGACTAATTAGTTGACATATCCTAGCGTTCGTAATGACAAGAGTCACAGACTCTGAGCCAGTACTATCTGTGTCCTAAAACTGATATTCGTATAATTGAGCCCCTTTGCATTCCTGGCGTAATAAGGCATGTGGCTACACACCTGCTTTATTATGTCTTTGTTTTTTCATTATTTCCATGAGTCATGATTGTCGTTTTAATGGTAATGAAATGTTGCTAATAACACATCTCTTATTAATAGGTCAAAGAGTGTGAGCCAGGCATTATATTAAGCATGATTTAAAAAAATGCTTCTATTATTTGATTTAATCCTTATATCCTGAGAGAAATGATATGATTCTCATTTTATAGGTGAGAAAATAGAGTCTCAGAGAGTTTTAATAACTTCAAATCACACAGCTTGTTGGTAGAGCTATAATTCAAAGCTAGGTCTGTCCAACTCCAAACTTCTGATCTTTCCACTGCACTGTACTGCACGTAGGAATATAATTATAACTTACTTCCTAAGTGTTAGAGTGATTTATAAGAATGAAAATTTAAACATGTGACTTTGTGAAAATAGCCCATCAATAATTTTAGCTCCTAAAATTCCATGTTAATCCAGGAGCATTTTTTTTTAAGTCAAAGTTGTTTAGCTTTCACAAACAAGCTGTTGTACATTCAGAATAAAATGCTTCCTATTCCATGTCAAAAGTGCAGATTTGTTTCTTGATAAGATGTACTATTTTGGAGACTGTCTATTTCTTATTGTGATTCAGGTGCAAATAACAGGAAAGCATATTTTTTTTTCCTATCTTGGCAAAGGGGAGCTATTTCTAAAAAAGAATACTTAATGTAATGATTTAAATGGCCATGATTTTGTGCTGTGAGTTAGGAGAAAACAGATTATAGCACAGGACTGAAAGAAGTAACAATGGTCTACTGACCTCGACAGGAAAATCCAGCCAGGGAATTTCCCTGAGATTCTAAGCCACGAGGTGGGTCTTCAGAGATACTCAGTGCTCTTCCCTGCGTGACAAAACGCAAAAAAGATATAAAACTGTAGATTTTCTGGGACATCCACACAAATGCGATCTCTGAAAATGAATTACTTTGCAAAAACTTCTATTCATGTCTACGTAACGTGTTGAATCACTAAATTGTACACCTGAAACTAATATTACACTGTATGTTAGCTAACTGGAATTCAAATAAAAACTTTAAAAAAAATCTAACATCAAAAGACATGCAAAAAACCAGACTTGTCTTTCCAATTCTTAGACAACTAAACAAATAGTAATGTGTATGGAACGTGGATTTTAAATGGTGGTGAAAACATAAAGAAAATATTCTTTAAATCTCCTATTTCTCTTTAGAAATTCAAACATTTTCAAAGTTTCCCTGAAAAAAGTGTGAAAATTGGCAACAAGCCAATCTGAACATGAAGGACAAGCATGAACACACACACACACACACACACACACACACACACACCAATCTCCTTTCACGCAAAGTGTTCTAATCTATGTACTGCTGCTTCTGTTTACAGAGCTCACACTTGTTTTAACCGTCTGGATCTCCCCCCATACCCATCCTTCTCCATGCTTTATGAAAAACTCTTGACAGCAGTTGAAGAGACCAGCACCTTTGGACTTGAGTGACCTGAAAAAGCGATGTCGGGCTCTGTACGGACAGGCAATTTTGGAAGCTGCGCTCTAGAAGAATGGCTGAACATTGGAAGTTTCAAGAGTATGCTTCCAGTAGAGTAAAGATGAATGCTCTGATTTTCCAGGAACACATGCTCCGTCACATTTGGGGACCGGATGGATAGTGGTGATGAGTCCTCTTGGAAGGATTTGGGTGAGCTTGATGCCCAGGGAACAACCCAACAGTCTTTCAATCAACAGTTGTTGACTGCCAAACTTTTTTCCATTTGTGTTATGTTCCAAGACAAAGATGAACCTGTACACGATCAGCTTCATGGTAACTTTTAGGGACTCAGGAGAATCTTGAAACTTACCATTGAATGTGGATCAAGCCAAACTGGCAGCACTTGGCCCAATCTCCAAATTAGTGCAAGTTAAATAATATAATAAAAACAAATGTATTTCCTGAAAGTACATTCATTTAAGCCCTAAGTTATAGCAGAATATTCATTTTCTTGCTTATGAGTGCCTGCATGGTGTGCACCATAGGTTTCAGCTTTCATGGGACACAAGTGAAAATGAAACCAAGTCAACATGAGGTAACTTTAAAGATTTGCAATAAGATGGTCTGTGACAATGTATATGCAAAGTGGTATGTGTGTAATTATGGCTGAAGACAAACTGTTATACAATGAATAACTAATGACAGATTTTATGCTTTATAATGCATGAGAACAATTTAAAAATAACTAGCAATTAATCACAGCATATCAGGAAAAATACACAGTGAGTTCTGTTTATTTTTCATAGGTTCATTATATTTCTGTTCCTTAAGATGTATATAAGAAACTACCTGTCATACTGTATGTATCACCTGTTCCATTTTCATGTTCCATGCTTACTCGGGCATCATGCTAGTATGTATCCTTTTACAGCACTCTCAAGGGAACAAAAGGGCCTTTTATTTTTATAAAGGTACAAAAAAAAAAATTCCCCGAAATATTTTGCACTGAATGTACCAAAGTTGAAGGGACATTACAACATGACTAATGGCAACTCCATCACTTGACAAGTATAATAGGAAATAGCTTCTAAATCCGACTTCCTTCACAGTGCCATGTCTACCACTACAAGGACTGTGCATCTAAGTAATAATTTTTTAAGACTCACTATATGTGATAGTATGATATGCATTTATTTAAAATGCATTAGACTTTTTCCATCCATCAAATACTTTACAGGATGGCATTTAATACAGATATTTCGTATTTCCCCCACTGCTTTTTATTTGTACAGCATCATTAAACACTAAGCTCATTTAGAGAGCCATCAGCGACACCCAAGAGATCAGCTCTCTTTAGTAATAAGAATTCCATTTTTCCCTCATCAGTGAAGACATCACAAATTGAAACTCTCAGTACTATATTTCTAAGCCTGCATTTTCACTGATGCATAATTTTCTTATCAATATTAAGAAACAATTTTTCTATGGTATCTCAGCAACTGCATGCTATCACTGATGTGATTTCTGCTTAGTTTTATCAGAGGTTGTTCATTTTTATTGCTTCTGGGGTTACTCCACATCGTTGTTTATTTCTTGACTTATGGCCATAACTAATCTGAGTGAGTTCTCTAATAGGTTGACGTTAAATCATGGATAATAAAAGCATTGGATTAAGATTTGGTTTGCCAGCCTGTGGTTTTACAGGCGTTGCCCAAACACCTCTTTGAGAATTATAAGTAGCCATGGAATTCCTATTATGGGATGTTGGCAATCTTGTATTTTATAGGGTCACATGCATGGTTTTCACAGGTGGTTTATAAGAACTAATTGCTCTCCTGTTGGTTAAGCTATGTTTACTATTGAGACCCTCAAGAGAAATACCACTCATGTTGCATTCCTGAATTAAAGGCAGATACTATAGCATGGGGAAATGTTCCCCCCAAAAAGTTACAGAAATCTGGAGATTAAAAAAAGATTAACTGTGTACTATAATTGGACCAGAAAAAAAGAAAAAGAAAAAAGTTTTAATTGGAAATGTTAGCTTGTACTTACTGATCATGAATAAGTATATATTTAATTTTGCAAACTATTTTTACTTGTTTGTATTTTTTTCATTATAAGGAAAAATAGTATAACATACTTTAAAAAAAAAACCTCATCTTCACTGTATATAAAATGGTTCAGGTTCGGAGCTGGCATTCTCTAAGCAGCTGGTATAAAAGGTTACATTTCTTTCAAAAACAGACCATGTTAGCTTTCATTTTGGTTTGTGACACTTTATCATACTCCACATTATTACGCAAAAGAGGTTTGAAATAAAATGCATCTCTTTAATTATTTCTAACAAATATATTTCTTGTTAAAGCATCTAACTTCTTCCCAAATAACAGTATAATCATCTACTGTTGCTGCTGTTCTCAAAATTGGGGATTATCAAAGATGTACTTAGCATATCAGAATACCATGATAACGGATCTATTATTCTTAATTAGTCCAATAATAACTGAAAATATTAAATAACATTTCCACATATTAAATTAGACTTTAATATCCTCTACAAATAGAAATACCCATAAATATTTTCTGGACTACGAGCCTAGATGACTTGGCTGTGTGGTCCCATTTTCTTTAAGAAATTCATGAGTGATGCTTGTTCTCTGCTGTCTTCTACTATAAAAGACAGCCATGCTGCCTTGTGTATGTATGTGGAACGTGTGTTAGTTGAAGCAAGAGGCACCCTATTGGCCTCCACTCTGTGCCAGCCACTGTGTTTGATGATGGAGCCACAAGGTTCAAACTCTGTCCTTAAGAAGCTCACAGTCTAGAGTAGACACCAAGGTTTTTAAGAAGTATTTTTAATGAAATTTGGTATGTTCTACAATCAAGGAATGAGGAGAGAACAGCTTATTCCATCTGGGAAATCCACTGAAGGCTTCATACATGGGAGATACTCTGGCTAAAAATAAAAATCACATAAATGCTCTTTCTGTTAGTAACTAATGGCATGTAATAGTGTGTCAACACTGGTCAGGTGGGGAGGCCCAGGGTGCACTTAAACACAAGACTTTAAAGCGTGCAGACAGGGAGCTGAGCCATGACGGAGCAGCTTAAGGATCCTCAAATTATCAAAGAAATGCCAATATTAAATCTGGTAGTTTCCTTTCATCTGCACTGCAATGTACCTTCAGTTTTCAGTGGGAAAAAAAAAATCCCCAGTCCTTGGGCCCTACCCACCTTTGTGGTCAAGACATTTATTTTATGCATAAAAGAATGAACGGATCTTGGTTAAAGAAGTGTGGTCACAATTTTCCAGCATATGTTGTGCTTGTAATTTAGCAGACATTCCGTAATCAATGAGGGAAGATTTGTTTCACCTGCATTAACGATCAGATGGGCTGACATGTTCAAAATGCTGACAGTAATGGTGGAATGTGTGTGTGTGGCACTTTAGAGTTTCAAAGTGCTATCAGGTGTGTCATCTTACCTCTTCTGCTGCTCACAGGCTTTTGAGGGGTAGAAGGTGCCAATCCCTGCTGGGCTGAGGCTGATTTTCGTGGATGGCTTATAAGACCTGCTTCAGCACTTTCTGGTTACAATTCTAGGTTTCCTTTCAAGAAATGGGACTAATGTTTCTACAAACATATTCCACTACCACTGAATTTTGCAAGATGCTTCATCTGCCCAAGTTCTCATGTCTACAAACAAATACTCTTAACATGTGTCATTTTCTGAAAAGCCCAAGGAAGAAATTAGTATATTCTTGGAAAAACTCATAGACTTAATATTTGCATTTTGCTTCCAGTTATAGGAAACTTGAAATGATACATAATTTGATGGGTTTTGGTGGATTTCTATAGTATAGTGTTTTAATTTTCTCAAATACTATTTAGAAGTAATTTAATGGAGAAGAAAAAGCACTTTTATCAGAAACCTAATTTTATTTTTTAATTCTTAACAAGGATGGATCTAGAAGCTGGTTGCTAGGTTCCAGTGGTGTGGGTGAAGGAACCCCTGCAGGTTCTCTTTTCCTCTCTGTCCTCTTCATATTCACTCAATTTTTTTCTTTCAGCACAAGTTGTGTTTATGACTTGACCACTTCTAACGGAAGTGAACATCTAATAATAAAGAGTCTGAAAGTCTTTCTAACTTAACCATATTGGAGAAGTCCCCAAGGCAGGTGAAATGATGATATACCATCATTAAAAGATCTCTGTAACCCTGCACAGTAAAAACATGGAAAAGAAGAATGTGACTTAATCCCCTAACTGTGTCTGAGTCTCAGGCCCCTATTGTTCTCTCTTATCTGCTTTAGTTGATGTGTGGAAACACTCTAGGTCTTAGACACCTTATTTCCATAAAACTTGAGTGTAAATTAATGAGCATGTCACTTTTTTTAAAAATTTTTTTAAATTTTTATTTAGTTATGATAGTCACAGAGGGAGAGAGAGAGAGGCAGAGGGAGAAGCAGGCTCCATGCACCAGGAGCCCGATGTGGGATTCAATCCCGGGTCTCCAGGATCGCGCCCCGGGCCAAAGGCAGGCGCCAAACCGCTGCGCCACCCAGGGATCCCCGAGCATGTCACTTTTAATCAGATTCTCATTTTGCAAAACCTGTTACTTTCCTAGTTTGATTGTGTTTTCCAGATAGATTTGTTTATCTAACATAGAAGCAAAGGAATGCCAGCCAGAGACATTAGAGCTTTCTCAACTGTGGCTGAAGGCCAACAGCAGCCCACTAGAAGGGTGATACAAACAAAAAACAGAAAAGCCCAGCAGTTGTGTTCCCCACCCCTGCCAGAATGTAATGCAAATTATTGACCAGCTATCAAGATTCAGGAGTGGTTGCTGCATTCCAAGGAGCTGGCACAAAGGAAATACTGTGTGTGTGTGTGTGTGTGTGTGTGTGTGTGTGTGTGTGTGTTTGCGCGCACGCTCCCCTTAATCACAGCAATCTGGGCCAGAAGGAATGCAGGGATGGTTAAGACAGGACCCTAGCAGAGGGAAAGTTAAAACAAGGGTTGGAAAGATCATCTGAAGGCTTCAATTTGGTTCCTGACTTAGGAAAAAAAAAAAAAAAGAATGTCTTGCTGTCTAGTGAGGGCACTGCTTGATAAACTGCCTGGTGGGAAATACCTTCATTGTATAACTTCAATAGGTTGATAACTTCTGATTGCACAAAAGAATTTAAAAGTATTAAAGCTAACCATAGCTGAATCAGGAAAATTTGAGAATTTAGTTAAATTATGTTGTGGATTTTGTTTAACTTCAGAATTGCTGTTGCAATTATTGAACTTCCTATGTAAGTAAAAAAAAAATGTCATAGCTTGGCATATTTATGATACTTAATTTGTTTCTCAGCAGACATTCTTTGACACTAGCTTTTGGGACATTTTCACAGTTTCTAGTGGTTACTTAGATGTTCCCTATTAATACAAAAAGTGAAAACTTAAGAATTAGGTTGCTGAATTGCAAATGGAGATCTAATCAGTGTTTCCAATTTTTCAGGAAGCTAATCAGGATTGAAAGCACATTTAGATTTAATCTGCTAGGCAGTTTATTTGGCTTTCATGATGGCACAGTTCAGCAGCATCGGCAGTCCCTAGTTGTAGGGGTTCTGGGAAAAACAAGGAAATTAAATTTATATATGTGATTTTTACGTTTAGTGGCCTTGGGCAGGTGATATCTTTCTAATTTTCTTGTAGAATATTACAACCCTGAGGAGTGTTGATAGGTATGTTGTGTGATTCAAACTGAATCAACTGTTACTGATGCAGATAAGGAACCATCAGTAAACTTCTGGTTACTACACCTTCTGTAAAAAAGGATGGATAATGTTCAAGAAATACCTTGGAAGGATTAACCAGGAAACACACAGAACTGAATGTTCTTTTAGGACCCTGATGCTCTAAAAGCTGTTATTACAACCTATTTTTCTTGATATGATATCGTAAGTAAAATTTGAAGCTGTTAATATATTGGAAAGTGCATAAGATTACATGTTTTTATAATAGGGATGCAGGCATTCCAAAAGAAATAAAAATACATGCATCTCTTTTGCTTCTTACTGGAAGTATTAATCTAATTTTATAATAATGCTTACTTTTTAATATTAAGGCTCTGTAAAAAAAAACATTTATTTCTAAAATTTCAGTAGAGCACAGGTGATGTATTTTTTTAAGCCTTTCCATTTCTTTTCACCAACTTCACCCATGTGTCTACTATACCATGTATTATACACAAGAGCTATGTTTTTATTTTGTTGAGTTGATTTAAGCTTCATATTCAATCAATGTGACTTTTAGTAGAGAATAATAATGGGAGATATTTAGTATTGGCATTAAGACCATACAGCTCTCATTTTACCTTATATTTAAATTTCATCTTTTTCCAAAGCAAATAATGCAAATTGTTGACATCCTAGAGCTGATTTGTGGGTGGTATTAAATAGAGCCTGGGACTCTGAAATGTAGACTAGATGTTTGTTTTCTGGAAAGTTTATATTCTTATCCTCACCTGAACCCCTGACTTTTGTGTTGTATTTTTTTATGCCTTGAGGGAAAGATATTTTAATGTGTACAATTTGTTTTATTTTCATACTGATCTCTATTTTTGTTTAAAACCATGTTGCATCATGAAATCACTTAATCCAAAATAAATCTTCTTTAAAAAAATAGATTATTACTTCTCTGTGATACATTTGGGAAAGAAAAAACTCAAGAGGAAAGAGAACAAAGTAGGGATAAAGGTCTCATGGGATTCACATGCAGCTTTGTGGACTCAGAAGTTCTCTTTTCATGATATTTATAATTAGGAATCCATTTTATTTATCCCTCAGAGAATATTTTAGTATTTGATAGCCCATCAAATAAGGTTGAAGAAATGAATTAACACAAATCATAATGGGCTGAGACTCTTTGTTAATCCATCTTGGTTGCTCATCAAATAAGGTTGAAGAAATGAATTAACACAAATCATAATGGGCTGAGACTCTTTGTTAATCCATCTTGGTTGAATGCTTGTTGCATAAACACATATGCATACCACCGCTACCACTACCACCCACAGCAATATAATCCAGGCATTACATATTCACAAGCCTACAGGGGCCAACTAGTTATGGTATGAGTGAAACTGCCTGGATGTAATCAACAGAGAGGGGTGGTGGGATTTACTCAAAGGGGGCATTCTTATTTTTTACTCCAGCTCTAGTCAGATAAAATTCAGGTCCAGTGTTGAAAGATCTGATTTATCAAGAGAATCTCAGAAATCTAAATTTTTGTGTGAAATTTCTAGATTTTTTTTAATACTCAGTGGATCAAAGCAAATATGTCTGT